TTCAAATTGTAGCACCTTCATATTCTGCACAAGATTACTACAATCGAAAAAGAATCTACTCTATTGTTCTCCAAGCTGTTGTTGATTATCAATACAGGCACCAAAACATACTGCTTTTCAGGGTTAACTTAATAAATTTTTGCCTCCCTGCTAAGCAACAGACATTTTTCAACTTCTAACAATTTTTAGATCCCATGGGGAGTTTAACAGTGACTGATGTAAAATAGGTTTCTTATTAAATTAGACACGTGTTTCAACTAGACGAGTAAGTAAGTTACACATAGTGAATTAAATTACACACACTTAAAAAACAAAAAAAATATATATTTAAAAAATTTTGAAGATTCACTGACATTTGCATCAAGTTGCCAGGTCGAGTCCATGATGCAAGAGTTTTGTCAAACTCGGGAGTGTTTGCAAAAGCTCAAACAGGAAAACTTTTCACAGTTACCATGGTTGATAAAGACGCATCCTAATGATGGCAGTCTTAGTCCTGCTCAGAAGAAATTCTATTAGTACATAAGTCGAGCAAGGCAAGTCGTGGAGTGTGCATTTGGCCGTTTAAAAAATAGATTCAGATGCCTACTTAACAAGAATTATACAAATTTAGATCATATGCCTATGAAAATTGCAGCATGTTGTGTTGTACACAATATTTGCGAGAGGAGAGCTGACAAACGGTTTGCAGATTATGTTAAACTTATCCCTGATAATAAAATTTTAGAATTTGTTTTACAGAGCACAGGCGCAAGTGCATAGCAAATTAGGAATTTTTTAACTGAGTTTTTGATGACACAATAAGCTGATGATAGCTAAATTACTCATGTTCTTAAATTAAATCAAAGTTTGTAATATGTTTGTTGACTTACAGCGTCATGGTGAACATTGTAGAACGGTTGTTGCAGATGCTGAGAACTCATTACTATTGCATTTGCAAGAAGTGACACTGACTCCTTACAAACATTAAGCTCTTCCCTGCAGCTCTCGCTCTTTTCTGCCTTTTTTTATTTCTGACAAAAGCATTTCATCGGACTCCTTGAGATATTTGTTGTTCTTTTCATTGCATTCTTGAATGCCACTTGCATGCTGGAGGAATTTGCCTTTCCCCTTTTATTTATTTTCTCGGCACTTATTTGTTTTCCTTGAGATGGTTGGGATTCTCATTTGTTTCACTAGGTAACTTGTCATCTGCGTTACTGACATCTAAATACCATATCTCATAAATGTTACGACGTAATAAAACAAAATATAGTACACACATGCAATGCTCTACTATTCACCTTCTTCAATGTAATCGCAATAACGGCAAACAAGTCTGTCATCATCAGCGTATACTGCAGTGCTATTTCCAACATGGGCTCCAGCTGTCCCTGGCTCCACAAACTCATCGCATTTTGGAAAATTTTTTCAATGATCCTCCCGTGTCCGTTTTTTCTTGTAAGCTCATCTGCTATGAAACTAAAACCAATATTTTCTTTTTGCAAAAATCACTCCATATCAACTCATCAACTATAACTTACCATCATCATCATGCCCGTTAAGGCTTTTTATTTCAGCGTCAGCTGATAAACTCGTTGATTCATCAGATGTATCGATGACGTTTTTAGACGCCTTGCTTCTGGGGCCGGTTGTATAAAAACGTAGTTAACTTTAACTGTAGTAAACGCTAACTACCATAGTTAACTCCTAAACACCAACCCGTTAAAACAGCAAGGACGAGAAAGAAAGCTAGCTTCGTTTCAGGTCATATAATGCCATATAATAATCGTTTTATTACCTGGTTTTTCGGAATGCATTGAATATCGGATCTCTGTCTTTTGTACAAACCTTGGTATGTACAAAAAGACCTCGGCCCGTTATTTCTCCGTAAAGATCTCGAGCTCGGTTATTAAGAACTTATTAACAATATACTTGAAAAAAATTCTGAATTCTGTTGATTTTGAAGTTTAGCGTACGTTTATTTTCGACCAGGTCGTATTCTTCAATTTCGTCCTATATTACTTTTCAGAACACCATAGCTTCCAAACACGTAGCTAAACAAGATATCTACTTTTAACAGTGCTCATATTTTCATCGTATCGATTCGATACGATACCGATTACTTTTTCTTAAAAGTATAGAGGTATCGATTACTGAAGCGATTACTCTCTCCAATTTCGAAAATAAACGTCTGAGTCACTTGATAAAGATCTGATAATGGATTGCTAAAGTGTGGCCTTATATACTTCAACAATACGACGAAATTTTTATTTTTCTTGTCTTAAATTACGAACTGTCATAACATTCTTAGGAGCAACGATAAATTTTCAGAAGCTGTATAAATTCTAATTGAAAAAATTGGTTACATGTTATTATTCTGAAAGCGAGATCTCCAAGTGTATTGATTACTAAAATATTAAAATAATAAAACAGAAAAAAAACAACATGTTTGTCAAAACCAATAATGAAAAGGAAGACAAACTTACACAATAATGAAATTTTAAAAGTAATCGAAGTCCTTTTTTCGACACCACGCATTATCGACGACTTCCGGCTTAGGCTCGGTATCGGGCGGTATCGATACCAAGTAATCGTTAATCGCCCATCACTACTCATTGAGTTCTATAAGACCTGGAGGGGAAACGTCGACAAAATTACTATAAATAATTAGCGCGCGGCCGCGTGGTCAAAAACATGGCGGATTTTGGTGGTCAAAGTCAGCGGAAATACGCGGGCTCATGAAATAAAAATTTTGTCGCTCACCCTGATTTGACCACCACGATTGTGAGTATAGAAAATATCAAAACTATTTTCATAGCATAAAAACTTTTTTAAAATTATCTTTATTAAACAATCTGCAAGCTTCGGTAGTTGGCGGATGCTGAAATAGCGACAGAAAAGGAAACATTTCATGACTCCGGTAAGTAGCACAGTAGTAGTTTTACTATTTTGTTTTTAACACGATACTTGAAGAGTCTTTCTACTACTAATGTTTTTATTTAAAGTTTACTTGTGTTTTAATTAAAAGTTATTTTGGTCCAGTCTCTTTTTGTTCCTCACTTTATCGCTTGCCAGACGTGGCGAAGCTGCCAATTTTTATCGAGATTTGCATTCATCTTGTATCATGATGAAGCTAAACTCTCCTGATTTGAATTGAGTTTACCTCTGAAAAATGGGGCAGATATTGTTCATATTTATTTTTAAAGATGAAGGGAAAGTTTGCAACAAAGTTATATTAAAATTGAATGCAGAGCCTTGCAAAGTTAATGAGAACTGTGGTATATGCCATATAATAAAAATAACTATTGAACTACTTGCCTGCCCAATTTGACTGACTGTATTCATTAATATTTTTTTACAAATAGTTAAATGAAACCAACTCAAAGGCTTGATGGAAAATACAAAGATTTATAAAGTTGTTTAACATTTAATTCCCAATTGTTAGTTTGTACATATAATAATTAGTATTGGTAGCTGTAAGTTGTTTAAGTAAAACAGAAAAGTAGTAGTGCTTTAAAGGTTTAGCATTTTTGAAAAATTATATTTTGTTGTTGACATACATTACACAATTCCAAAAGACTGTAAGTAATACACAATAATATCTATAGAACTTGATAAATTTCGTCGTCCACACTGTCAATTAATTATTTTGCTTTAATGCAGCAATAGACAGAGAGTTCTCGTCAGAGAAACCAATGCAATTTAGTTTCCAAGTTTGTAATTTAAATGGAAAATTAATGTAGTTCCGTTCAGTAATAAACCCAAGGTTCTGCCAATCAGTTTACAAAATACAAATTTCTAACCAACATATCATGGTGTTTTGAATTTTTCCCTTTTTTGTAGCTCTTCTAGTCAACATACTTTCTTTATGAGTTTTCAGTAGATTTATGACAATACACTTATGATACTTATCCATGGTAAATTTTAAGTTTACGTATGTCGTCGGACTGAAGCAAACATTTTCTCGCTTCCTTAGGAGCATTTTTACACAGATTTATCCTATTGAGCAAGAAAAATAGTTGCATCAAACTGTTAACAAACAGTCAAACACAGAGAAGCATGAAATACTGTATAAGTTTGACGAGATTGACAGATCTAGTAAAGAATGCCGTTTGATTTTAACTTTTAAAAGGTTAAAATGTCATAAAATAACTTAAGTGTTACAGCCAAAATATGCGTTTCTCTACCGTCAATTTTCTTTATTTTGATGAGTGTGTGTAGAGTGTTTTCACTAAATGCTGAAGCATTATTTTCACATGATATGCGGACGGTATTGTAATTGTTTTTTTCACTTGTTTTCGTTCATATAATCACTATTGGAAATCAGGAGGGAGTGAATATTAAAGAAAAATTTTAAAGTGGAAGTTTTGACCACCAAAATCCGTCATTATCGCCATGTTTCTGACCACGGGGTCCAGGCTCCTTTTCCTCTCCAGGTCTTATAGAACTCGATGTCATTACTACTTATCACTTCAACACAACTTCAACGGGAGATGAAAAATGTTATCAAAAACGTCAAATGTTTCGAGCCATTTTAATTTTTTGGGTATGTAGCTCACTCGTCATTCTTTTCAAATATGAGGCCTATAGAAAAATGGTGAAGTGGCCCACAGTTATTGACATGGACGACCGAATCGTTAGTCAAGATATCAATAATATTACTCTACAATTGACTCCGTCGAGACCAAATTTGCTTTTATTTATTAGTATCATAAGTGCTCCGTCTCACAATAAACGAAAAACAGAAAAACAGCAGGAAGAGAACATAGATTAAAGAATGCACCAAATGATCTGATGTTGTTTGTAAGTATTTCACTAACGGTAAAGATCTAAGTGGTAATTTGATTCAGGGTGAAGAAAAAGAGAAACTTTATAATGAAAGTCAGTTACATGGAGATCTTGTTCGTACAGAAACCCTGTGATTTTACATTTCGGTACAGCTACTGTGGGTACTTCAGTGGGCAAATGATAATTACGATTTCCAATAATATTTACGACTTAATAATGACTATTTTATTTGTTTGAATAAGTTGATGTTAGAATTGGAAAGTAATAAAAGACCAAAACACAGCTTTCAGTGGGGATGGCTATACTGCGAATTACACGGTATAAAAATAGAATATTTTTGAGACCCATACGGTTTTGTACAGAAATATTTTTGTTTTGGTCTTATTACTTACCAAGGTAGCAAACTTACGTCGTAGCAACGTTGTGTCGACGCTTGACAAACGTCGCCTCAACAGTTGTGATAACGTTGTTTTGTTAACTCTTTGGGATGTTGGCACAAAGTCGCATGAATATAGCGTTGAACATGTCATTCCAGAGAAGCTTAGCCAACGTACTTTTTTACCGTTTGAGAACGTTGTTTGGACGTAGATTTTTGACGATCTTCGATCCTGAGCAGCGATTTTTCGAAACAGAAAATAATTGCGCTTATATCTTTTAATTTTATTTTTTGAAAACTACATTTTTGAAATTTAAAGCTACATAAACATATGTAGCTTTAAAGTGTACTGATCTATATTAAATATATTTTATTATAGCATAATATACGGTGGCCAACTGGAACAAGCGCAACACCAAATTATTATGACCAACCCAAAATTATTAAGAACTTAATGACCGAGCGCGAGGTCTTTACAGAGAAATAACCGAGGTGTTTTTGAACAGACCGAGCCCGTAGAGCGAGGTTTGTACAAAAACACAGAGGTCCGATATTTCTCAGTAAAGACCGAGAAAGCGAGGTTATTAAAACGATTATTATATGGCATTATTTTACCTGAAACGAAGCTTGCCTTCTTCTCGTCCTTGCTGTTTTACGGGTTGATTTTCATTTTCTAGTTTTCGTCAATAAAAATAAACTCGTTTCATATTGTATTGTCTAGATAGTTTAACTGTTTTCCAAGTGTTTTTCCTTCAAATCACATACGTAAATGGTTTTTTGTTTCGTTTATTTTGCGTTTTGCTGTTTCCTTAGAAAGTTTGTTATGACAGTAAAATTACGCGTTTTGGACCGTGGTCGATTACGCAAAAATAATGGACCGGAAAAAAAATTTCTGAGCCAATCAAAGCGCATCATTTGGCGGAAAGTGACGCTTGCCATATAATAAGCTTTAAACCATTCAACCTACAACCTTAAATATTTCTAGTTTATGCTAAAGTAACATTCTACTTTTCAGCTATGTTTTCTATAGCGGATGCTGTATACTCAGATTGATAGTCACGTGGGCAGTGTTTGCCATAGCGTCTGAAAAAGACCTTGTAAGATCTATTAGGATCTTATAGGATACTACTTATATTAAATGTATATTTAGTATAGAGAATAACTTAGATATAATCGTTTTATGTCTTATTGTGGTATCTTTGAGCCTTTTCTGGCGCACTGCCGATAGGCCTGTCGGAGAAGGTTCCGTACATTCGCCATGATTACCAAACTATAGAGTGGCGATCTGTTCCAAGAATTTTAGTTTTTTGCTATAAACAAGAAAAATGCTTTCTTACATTTCAATGGGTGAAAAGATGTGAGGATGAAACATCTAGAGAATGAAATTGATAATAATAGCACGATGACGTAATGGAGCTTTTCAGCAGCTATCGTTGCCATAGAAATCGAACGAAAGAAAATATTGGCGTTATATTTGAAGCTTATCCAAAAGCTGCGCTTTATTGCTGATTCTTGAAACAAAGAGTGAGATCATTGAAGGACTGTGATCAATTCAGTAGTTTTGCCAGCTACTCTATAATTTACTGTGAGAAAGGAGCATCCTCCAAACGTGTTATCAAGCTTGTAGAAGTTGAACCAAAATCTAAAGGCGAGTGCGCCTGAAATTAAGATTGATCAAATTATGACATGACACTTATGCTGGCTGGATTTCTCTAGTTTCTAAATGGTAGCGATATTATTACTGTCACAACAAAAACGTAATTGTTCAATTCCAACGAAGGTCATTCACGTGAGATTTTTGCCCATACGTTTGGAGCGCCATTAGAATCATAATCAACGTATCAAACTTACAACTATTCCGAAAATTGACCTCCATCCCAATGTCTTCGGAACACGAAGAATAATTACAATAACAACTTCGGTTTGTTAAACAAATTTTATTCCTACTCCTAAAAGTATCTCGCTTCTCTCCCTTGTCTAGCCCCTCTCACTTCTGTTCTCTGCTTTTCTAATTCCGTTCCACCCATGTTTTCTATATTGTTCCTTATCGCCCCAACGTACCTGAATGTACAATTGAAACCCAACACAACTTTATCATTATTTGCAACACAACGAGCTCTCAGAATAACTCACAAACAAACATTATTCGAAATTTGGCAGATTGGTCTTTTGTTGTAGCATAACATGGATATCTGACAACAATACCTATATTGGAACTCTTAATTACATTCTTTTTGTTTCAAGAATTTGGGTTGCAAAACCTTTTTTCTTTGCAAATCGCACTACAGTCTAATGAACATGTCGTAGAAATAAAAGTAATTTTTTTGTTGTTTTTATAATAATTACTTAGTTTATAAATATCGAATGAGAACAATAAGAGACAACATAACATAAATGTTTCTTTTCCAATTCCAACTTGAGGATCACAATTTTCTTCAAGGAATGATCTCTGTTCTTCTATCATATTGGTTGCTATATAGGCGGGAATGGTAACTTGGTAAGGACTCTCGTGAATAGGTAGTGGCTCATCCATATGAATTCCATAATTCTGTAATTCAGCTTCATTCATAATGCCTTCAATCCCCGAGAATTATGAATTTATAATCATCAGAACACCCAAGGTAAAGAGCTGCAGCGGTGTCATGCCATTCTCTAAAGACAACGAATGGTTTTACAATTGTGTAACTCTTTTAAACATCTGCTTATATGTGGCATGTAAACATAGTTCAAGGCAAAAATGTGGACTTCATTCAAAGGATCCTATTGTCCAGAGTCCTCTAGTTCGCAGAATCCCTTTTCGAGGAAGCTTAAAGCACCAGAATATATATCTCGATAGGGTCTTTCGACCCTGGTGTTATGCACAGAAATAGAAATTATAATACTCCCTTTTCCTGAGCCTGTACTGAGACCCAAGCATATAAGAGCAACTTCAACATTGTCCAAACCGTGGTCTCCATCTTGAAGCCAGTACTCCGGGGTCTACTTTACGTAAGCATTCACGCACTCTACAACGTTGAATGCGAATACTACGACTTTGTAATGCTGCCATTAGACGCCTTTCACATATAATTGATGTAATGTAGCAAACATCTTGAACAAGGCGCTCTAATTCGTCATCAGTAATGGTGGAATAATTGAACGAAAACTGAGCATTACTATGCAGTTGTCAATACTAGCCGTTAATGATTCGCTACACTGTAGATTCCAGTTCTCTCCAATTTTCTCGCGTCGTGGCTATAATAAGATATTTATTTAAAAAAATCGTTTTCATTCAAATGATAAACGGATTTAGTTGTACAATGACTACTTCTTGCCATCATACACAATCAGTCAAAAAGAAATCCTTGAGTCATATTTGCGGCTAAATACAGGAGTGTGTAATTAGCCTCGTTACGCGGCCTAATTGCCAAAAACAATAACCCAAAAAATAGTAGTTCATGTTTTGTTTTTATTCTTTGGATTCTTTGTAATTCTTAAATTTTAAAATAACGATTGCACTTGTGGAAATATTTGTTTACTTACTACTGCCGCCATATTTTTGAATTGACCAGAACTTTACTTGACTTTCACTGCTTTTTAGCGAATCAAGTTACACTACTTACAGAGCAGTTACTGCACTGCAATCAACCAATCACTGTGGAGAAATGTGTCAAAGTATATTATTTAAGAAATAAAAGATGTTTACTGCGTTTGCACAGGCTTATGCAAACCGAGGAGACTTTTGAAAGGTCGAGGGTTGCACCTGCTCGAGAGTCCTCGCCAACGTCTTTGAGTTTTGCATAAGCCAGTGCAAATACGATAAACATCTTTTATTTCAAGTGTAAAATAACAATAATGCAAAACAAGCCAAAGATTTTAATATTCTTTTAACGTGTATTCACGATTGATTTGCAAATTCTCTTTGATTGATTGGTTTATTTGAATGGTCGAGCTCAGATCGTTTTGCACAGGCTAGTGCAAACACAGCTATAGACTAATCAGCACACGCGTTTCATTGTGTTTATTTTATAATAATTAATGAAATACATGTAGTTTATTAACGTAACAGAAATGTTTGTTAGGTTTTATGATGTAGCCATCTACCTTCCTTAGTATATATTGACTTACGCGAACAAATAGATATCACAGATAACTATAGTACCACATTTAATGTTCAACGTCAATGTCTATGGTCTACGATCTATCTTACAACGATAAAACTACTTCCTTCGGTACAAGATGTTATTTAAGGATATATTTGTGTCATACTAAATATGGTTACTTTAAATGAACGGAAAACTATTAGGAACTAAAAATGTTGTCATAATTACGCCTAAGTATATCTTTTAAAATAAAATAATTTACTTTTGACTTTATTATTTATCAATGCAGGAAGATGGAGAGAATATCTTAGTGTAGGACTTTAGCCATGCCATCTGTCAAGGGGCTTTATTTATCAGATGAGACTATCCCTAGCCGTGTGGACAGTGTCCGTACATTTGATTTTAGGATTGTTGTTCTAAAACAAGATTTTAGCATGTCACTGACAATTTGGATACAGCCACTTCACTAGCAAGTATTCTCTAGTAAGTTTTCTCTCACTACGGCAGCAAATGCCTATACCATTTTGCACGACGTTTTATATATTAATTATTGGCTTTGAACCCGTTAATTCCACATCTTGTCTACATTCTTTTCTCATCCACTTAATAACTGAAAAGTCACTAAGTCAAGAGTTCACTTGGTGGTATTGGAGTAAACTCCAACTGTTGATGTAGTAATGACACACATGTCAAGTCTTCTTGGTGACATTTGTGGGATTTTTTAACAAGGTTGAAAATTATTAATTTCGGAAACAGAATGTTAAACTATATTACAAGCTAAAACTTTTACCTGTATATAAAAAATACAAAGTTGAGCAGATATTTTCGACCGCCATTGTAGTCATAGAGATTTTTCTTCAATTTTTAGATGCAACATTCCTGGATGAGTCTTTTCTTCTTTTGACTTCTGACATTGTCGAATCATTTTTAAAAAGGAAAGACAGTTTGATGTGCCTTGTTTGGGAAAGTCAGGCTGTTGTCTATTGGTTAAAAGCTATCACAAATCTAACAACGTTTTCTGATAATGGGAGGCTAGTTCATCTTCGGTCTTCTTCGCCTGATTTCCGGTCAGATAATGACGTAAAGAAAAGAAACGAAATTTGTCGTTCAATTATTGGTATTCACCAAAGTTACCCTGATCAAATGAGGCTCTACTGAGTGTTTATGAGAGGGAAGATAATAGTACACACTATGAAATTCCTAAAGTGTATACAATTGTCATTTTCAAATCAACGTGAATTACATGGTTTGAAAGACAATAAACTGTGGTTTTCTGAACCTAAGCCATGCAAAGACAATCCTACGTGGAGAAAGGAAAATAAATATTTCGGTAGACGTGGAGCGTAAAGGTACAGCAGAGAGCACATAATTTACTTTTTGTAATGATTGTGAAATGCAAATTTTTTTTAATAAAATATGTAGTGGACTTGGCCAGTAGCGTAGCCAGACCACAAGTATCAGTCTTGCATTTTGCATTGCATCTTTTGAAATGCACTGTTTTCCAGTGCATGTGAACTGAAAAAACCTGTAAATGGCAAATAAAATATGTGGACTGCTTACGCTACTGGACTCAGAAAAAAAAAGGGCTTAGAGATGTGATTTTTTTTTTTGTTCTTTATCTCGTGTATTTTCTTGAACTCTTATCTGTAAGCAATTTTTTTGCCCTCTTTCTGTCAGTGGCCAAAGCCAGTCCAATGCAATCCAAAATTAGTTTCAAAAACACAAAATTCATCTTGTAATTTGGATGAGAGTGTAACTATTTGTGTTGATAATGATAATGATAATGATGAGTTGGATGAATTATTCAAACCAAGTGATCTAAATAATATTTCAATGATTTGATTGGACGGATGAATTTTACAAAGTGTATTTGAGTAAAGATAACGATTTAAAAACTATATCACAAAAATTGCGACAATTTGTTGCATCTTGTCGTGATATATTAAAAAGTGAAGAAGAAAAGAGAAAACAAAGCGAAGCAAAGTAAGTTAAAGAAAAAAAAAGTAAAAAAGAATTCCAAAAACCGTAGCAAGAAAAAAAGGAAAATGAATATTGAAAATGGAAATGACATTGAAAATGGTAATGACATTGAAAATGATAATGATATTGAAGATATTTATATGTTGAAAGAGATTTCTAATAAACTGGATATTTCAATATATGATTGCATTGTTTATCATAGTGAAATTATGAATGAAATTTTAGAGGAAAAAATGTGAGAGAAATATGATTTTGTAGAAATTTATAAAAAATATGGAAATGACAAAATCAAAAGAATATATAATAACATTTTTCTTTTAGTGCTTGATTACCTTTCTCTTCCAACGATTGTGAATGAGGACGATGATGAGGAGAACGAAGAAGAATACTAATTTAATTAATGATAAATTAATGATATATATAATGAACACATTATATATAATTTGTATTGAAAGAAAAAGAAAAACTATAATCGTTTAAATATAAATGTATGGGAAAAAATGATTTGTGGAGTGTTGATTTAGCTGAAGTGAAAGATTTGGTAAGATATAATGATAATTTGCGTTATTTGTTATATGTAGTTGAAGTTTATTCAAGATACGCATTTGTGCGTTTATTACAAAACAAATCTAGTAAAAATGTTATGAAAGAATTTGAAGATATCTCACTGAAAGAAAATGAATTTCCTAAGAAAATAGTATCGGACGAGGGAAGTGAATTTCAAGGGATTCGAAAAGAATTGTCAAAAATATAATTTTACAATTGTTAATACTTATAATCGTGAAATTAAAGCTACTCATGCTGAAAGATTTATACGAGCAACAAAACAGATGATTAGAAGAACTATTGACTTGTTGCAAACGAGAAACGAAAAAAATTTGATAATTATAAAAAATACTTACATTTAATTGCGGAAAGATATAACGAATCTGCTCATCGTGGATTACTTTTTGATAATCTTACACCATATGATGTCTATTTAGGTGGAAAAAATAAATTACATGAAAAGATTATCTAATATTTTAAACAAAAGGGACAAAAATTTAAATATATTAAAAAAATGATAAAGGCAAATTTCCAGAAAAAAATAATATTTCTGAAAAGAAAGTTTAAGACAGCGGGATAATGAGATTTTTTATATAAATAAAGTTTTGTTGACGGATCCTGTTACTTATAAGCTTTTTGATTAAAACGGTGAAAAAATTCTAGGGGAGTTTTATCGCGAAGAATTAAAAAAGGCTTAGAAATGAAAAATATTACATTAACTAGTAATGTTAATATTAAAAATGGTGAAAAAATTATATTAATCATTTTACTACAACATTACCATGTAAAATTGATGCATTAAATAATAAAATATACATATCTGTGTTAAATGTTTTTTATCCAAGAACAGCAAAGAATATTAATGAAGATGAATGCTGGTGTGATTTTGAAATAAAATTTTCAAAACACTTTATTCAGACGGATGTTACTACTGAAAATATAGATAAAAATTTATATCCAATTTTAAAGATTAATTTACCAAGGATTAAAATACCGTCGGGAATATATATGAATAAAAAAGTTATTTCGCTTTTAAATGATTACTTAAATGATTTTAGTGTTTTTTTAATAATAAAAATGTTAAAAATAATGTAACTTTAATAAATGAATATACTATGGTCAGGCGAAAAAATCTTATATTAAAGATGGTAAAAAATGTGATATTTAAAATTATATTTGGACACGACCCGTATTGAACAAAATAGTATATATTGATTATACTACTCGAAATTATACAATGGAATTCAAAATAACTTTTTCAAAAAAATTAAGTTTTATGTTGGGGTTAGATAAAGAAGAAATAAGACATACATTTGATTCTGGATTTGATTATACAGAACGTAAATTCTTAAAAAAAATTGAATTATTTCATTGTCCATATCTTCCTGATGAGACTGTTGGAACAAAAAAAAATGTTTATATATTGTGATAAAATTGATAGTGAAATTGTTGGTCATTCAAAAATTGAATTGTTGTGTATTGATCCTTACATTATGCAGATGTAAGTGGAGATGATTTGTTGTGTACAATCCTACAACTACACAAAAACAATTAATTTCTTCAGTTATTAAAGATTTAACTATAAAAGTATTGGATCATCAAGGCAATTATATACCATTTGATTCTGGAAATATAACGTTAGAATGTCAAATTGATGAAAAAATGGAAATTAAATTACGACCTATAAAAATACCTCAACATAACCATACTGTATCTCGAATTTTTTTTGGCCAGATATACATATATTATATCCATTTAATTTATCAGGAATTAGTAAAAATAAAAAAATTTTAATCGAATAAAGAGCTAAAACCAAAAATTTCAATAGAGGAGTATATACATTAAATATCTATTCAATTATTCCATATAATTTTGTTACCGATATAAGTGGAAATGTACAAAAAATGCCAGAATTGGTGATATAACTAATGTGAAAAACAGTATAAGAAATACCGCTAACAAACCAAATAATATTACATTTTTTTATTAATGCATAAAAACTTTTTTATTTTCAAATGGGGGTTGTTCAAAACACGCCAGGCATTTTTGCATGCCAAAACGCTAGTTTCTAAGTCATTGTGTCCAGCTTTTTCAGCACAAAATACTCGATCAAAATAATTAATTAATAGGAGTTTAGCAGGGCTACGAGTACGACTACGAGTACGATTTACGTCATTTTGCGCGAAAACATTGTTGCGACAACAAAACACGTAGCCGTCATCAATCTGAGTACGATGTTTTGTAAAAAATTCGTAGTCGCGACTACGATGTCTTTTTAAGCAAAGAAAGTAGGTATATTTCTTCATTCTGTAAGAAATTAGTTTACAGTACAATTTTCGAGCATCCAGGCTTTAATTTAGAACCTTTTTTGAGCGCAGATGTATATTAAAAAGGAAAATATGACCTGCAAAACTTTCATGTATTTCGTACGCAAAGTGAAAGGTAAACAAACAATAAAATAGTGCAAATTCATCGTACATAAAACTTAAAATAGTGAAGGTTTTTCAGTCTAAATAGTCCTATATTCTCGAAAAACCAGTCTAACCAAACTAAATTAATTATTTTGATCGAGTATTTTGTGCTTCGCAAATACTGTAGCTGCTTCGCAAACGTCGGTGTTTTACACAATAAAAAGGCTCGTTCTGTTGTTTACAACTAAACAAAATTTTGACGAAGCGACAACGACAACAAACTTCCTCGTGCCATTCCCTTACACGGTCAAATTTCGTACTCGTAGTCGTAGTCGTACTCTTGCTAAAACTCCCTAATGAAGATGGCGGGGTTTCAAATGTGCGATTTTCAGCAGAAAAAATATTTCGTCAAGAAGACATATGCAACAGCGCCGTTCAACAGCCGCCTTCCTCCTTAACAAAAGTTGAAGAGGCAATTTTCGCATTAGCAAGTGACATGCAATGCAAAAATTAGGAAATTGTCTCAAAGTGTTGTGTTGAGCAAGTGCAAGCTATGCTTCAACTTGCAAAGAGGTTGACTTCGACACACAACAATAGGGCGCTGAGATTGATGAGACTTTTTGTCAATCCAGCCAAGCTCTTAAAGAAGGAGTCACAAATTTGGCTAATGGGGATTCGTCGACGACTTGGTGGCAAAAAAAGAATCAGAAACCCATATTATTGGGAAATTACGAGGGACACTTCGCATGCTTTTTTGCTACCATGGTGCGTAATGTTCGCACTTTGAATGGTTTTGTGGCTCCTTTCTGTTACCAGGTTGAAAACAAGAAATCTGAGGTGATATCCTTCACCTCCATTCGCCTTTTGAATGAGTTGTTTGTTTTGTTGTCTGCCTTGTCCAAGGAAGATGTTGATGCTTAACTAAGGCGAAGTTTTAGCGGACGTCGCAAGGTTCAAACAGCAGCAGTTATTGTTACCGAGGTGGAAGACTTTGTTTATTCAATGATGAGCCTTCGAGTTTCTTATTTTGTACATAAGGACGAACAAACATAAAATTTGCCAAACAGCAAAAGAAGCAACTCATTCAAAAATTAAGAAAAAATATGAAAAAATTTAACCTAATTCATGCCATCCCTCTAAAAGCAAGAGATCTACAAATGCCTTTTAAATTTATTTTCAATTAGAAAGTTGAAACCTCACTAACAACTGATCCATTTATTGGCTCTTGGTAATTGTTGCATTGTCTGCTTTAAAAACAAAAATAGGGCACACTAGCACATTGTCTGCGAATACTAGACAGTATATTTTTTAGTGAGGACAACACCCCTCTGGCTTCTTTGAGTTTTTATTAAATTTGACAAAGGCTTAAAAAACTAGTTGAACTACACAAATATTAGTCAATGAAAATTCAGATAACTATAATATATGCAAATTTGATTGTATGCACATGTAAAGCTGGTATGCTCTAACATGTACATATTCTGATAAGATTAAGTTGCACAGATTATACTTGTCCTAATGTGATAAAAGACTAAATGGTTTTGTTACATTGTATATATACAATTACAATATTACAACTAATGCAAAAAATATATTTATTTTAATAGCTTTGTTTTCATTAAGCTTGCACATAAAATTACTTTGCTTTGTAAGAAATCACAAAAAAAAGCAAATGAAAAATCAGAAGCAATTGTTAATAATTGTTTTCTTTGTAAAATGATTGCTATAAGCAATTATAGGGAGACTGCTCTCTGAACAATTAGCCATAAAGAGCAGGAAGTCTTCATTGCGGATCTTCACACCATGTCCAATGTTTAGAAATCTTACCAGCCAAGAGCATGCTCAATCATTTCTTCCAAAAGGGGCACTATCTCCACCAAACATGAAATGTGTTTGGCTGATTAAAGTTGAAAAGGTTATACTTACCAATGTTCAAACAAAATTCTGCAATTTAACAAGAATATCTTCTATATCTCCGTAAAAACCATTGACCTTCTCACACTCATCCAACCCATTGCACAGATGTTCACGAACACTAAATAACTTACCATTATCAATAGATTTAATGTATTGCACTAATCTATGATAGGGAATATTGCAACCATCCGGGGGTCGGACATTCACCAACACTAACATGCTTAGCCCTCTTACTACCACATATCTCCTCATATGAGGTAGGCCTTATAAACTCTGCTACACTTTTCTTTGCCCATAACGCCTTTACTATAATACACAGCAATCGATATTAACATATTCTCATTTGATCTTTCAAACTTCTTCAAATCTTCTTTGTAAATTTTTTGAAAAACCTTGCTCTTAAATTTATTGCACTTTTTCAACCCTATATCATCCACTTTGCACTTATTATACTATATCACCAACTTGCACTTTTTTTCTAATGTCTCCAACATTCCATTGGTACCGGGCTTTGTATGATCCTTACCACCTCCATGAATGGCATTAGCGGCCAACATTGTCTCCATCCAGTGTGCTCGACCAGTGGACTCCACACAACCTTGCCCAGTTGGTTTGTTTGTTTGTCTAACAACTGCATTCCTGCCTATGCTTGAACCTTTCTCTTCTTGTTCCTCCTGCCTATTTCCACCAACAATGAGCTCTGTTCTAATGCTATCTAACTCTTCTACTTCATTCACCAGTTTCTTTACCTGTACCATTTATGAATACAGTTCCAGCACAGAAA